CCCCAAAACCCCAAAACCCCAAAACCCCTTTTTGAATCAAAAATTTGAATTTTAAATAAGTTTATGAGTTACAATTTATCAATCTTCCCTTTTTCCGTCAGATTTGGTACAGGATCTGCAAAATTCTTACTATCAAATACTTGAGGGTTCCAATTTGGGGGAGCTTCCAAAGCTTGATAGCTTGGAAGTTTTGGTGGAGAGATAAACACGCTAATTGCAGTTTCAGGTCTGGTACAACACCCACAACATATATCATAATCCGCAAAGATCTTTAATTCATATGTGATTTTGATCAACCTCCCAGTACTGGTCGGTTGAACTCCTTCTCCCATAGCATGATCATCTCTACCTTCTATTTGCTCCTTGAATTCTTCTCTGTCCATTTTATTCCCATATTCTCGAAGAGGAAGCTCCATAAACTGATTTTCTCCCTTAGTACTTTGTCCTTGGGGAATTCCTGGGTACTCTTTTTCTAACACAACATATGTGTTATTGTATCGCCTGTCTTGATCATTAGTATTGTTGAACAAGTGGTCTTCTGAAGAATCTAAAAGATTTAGCAAATTCCTCTTCTTTCTCCTAGCATTTAACTGGACAGACTGTACAAGTTGAACTTTGACTTTCTTGATGTCTCTCTTACACTTACTATTATCAATATTTCCGATAATTTTTACAGTCTCGGTAGGAGTGTAAGCTGTTTTGTCCGTCTGGGATTGGATGGTTACCACTCCACTCGAGCATCAGCATCAGCATGTTTTTACTTGATCACTATAATCAGCCGCACTGCTCATGGGCACTATATCAGGCTGCTGTCTGATTATTAAAGTTTGCTTAAAATTCATGTCTTTCATCTTATCATCATTGGATTTGAGGACAGCTTTCAGTTTATACTTTACTTTTCCATGGGAACGCTGAGATGCTTTATTAGTATAAAAGCAATTAGACGGAATATCTACAGGAAGAACTATTTTGAATGGAAAGCTGTATTGTCCAGGCATGACTGATCCACCCATGAATGTATAGATAGGGGCTGTGAAGTTTACAATTTCTACTTTATCTTCAATATGCTTAGTGTAGCTATGCTTGCCTCTTTTCTTTCTGACTGTCCATCCAACATCTTCTTTTCCTTTCAAAACAAGCTGCAGGTTAGAGCCAGGGAATGGGTTTTGCAAAGAGATATAAATGTTCCCAGTTACCTCTTCTCCAGGAGCATAATAAGGCTTGGTTGTCTGAAGGATAATATGCCCAGCTTCGAACTCTGATCTAGAATCAGTGATTCCCATTTAATTTTTCTATTAAATATTAAAAAATAGGGGTTTTGGGGTTTTGGGGTTTTGGGGTTTTGGGG